TTTAAGCTGCACACGGGGGGGGGGCGTGTTTTAAGATATATCATGAACCGGAATCGCCACATGACAGGGCTGGTTTAAGGTTTCAGAAATATGATGAGACGGACTCGCCACATCATGAGGGGCGTTTAAGACATGTAACATGATGAACCGGAATCACTACATAAAGGGGCGTGCTTACGATGTATGGTGAACCGCAATCGAGAATTGATTTCGCGTGTTTAAGAAATATGACGAACCGGAATCGCCCCTGCAAGTTGTAATCCCCCAATAATTTGGGGCAAGACAGGACTTTGCAAATTGTAATTCCCCAAAGCAAGACCCTGCAAACTGGAACTCCTCAATAGCTTGGCACAAGACAAGGCCTCGAAACTGTAATCCATCAATAGCTTGGGGGCAAAGCCTTGCAATTTATAATTCCACAATAAGTTGACGCGAAGCAAAACCCTGCAAGTTGTAATTCCCCAATAGCTTGACACAAGACAGGAGCCGCACTCCCCCAATAGCTTGGTGCAAAACAAAACCTTGCAAATTGTAATTCCCCATTAGCTTGACACAAGACAGATCAAGACAGGAGCCTTGAGATGGTAATCCCCCAATAGCTTGGGGCAAAACAACACCCTGCAAGTTGGAACTCCCCTAATGGCTTCACACAACGCAAACCCTGCAAATTGTAATTCATCAATAGCTTGACGCAAAGCAAGACCCTGCAAATTGCAATTTCTTCAATAGCTTGACGAAAAGCCGAGGGACACAAGACAGGAGCCTCGAAATTGCCATCCCCCAATAGCTTGCGCCAAAACGCCACCCGGCTAATTGCAATTCCCCGATAGCTTGATGCAAAACAGTAGCAGGTGCTGCAATTTACAGTATTTCAATTCAAAAAGAGAGCTAACGTGAGGCCGCACACAGCAGGGAAAGAGCAAGTGTTCGTAATCCATGAAAGGAACAGTCACTGCGGTCCTCAGGTCGTGCAGCCCCGGACGAGGCGAGGGCCGAAGCCTCTTGGAAGGCAGAGTTGGATGCTGCAATGCACCGCACTGCGCCCCAAACGATGACGAAAGTGGCAGCATTGTACGAGCGCAGAACAGACGCTGTCGGAATATCACCACGCCTATTCCTCGAATCTGGGAAGCGGACTGCTCGGGGTTCGTGTGCGAAGGGCAGAGGCTTTTGCAAGTTTGACATTCGAGGCTCCATTCGGCGAGGACCCTCCAGCGCCAGCAGCTCTCGTCCGCCCCGTGGTGAGCCAACCAGTGCACGCCAGAAGGCGGCAAAGGGCAAGCAAGGTGAGTGATCGGCGGTCCACACACTGATGCGCGCTGCTGCGCTGAAGGAGACGCTATTCGGCTGCAATGTTCTCTCGCCCGCAAGGCAGATGCCGGCGCAGTGCCGTCGCACCGCGAGCTGGTAGGACATGCAGGACTTCCATCGCATGTTCTTGCCACACACACACACACACTCACACGCGCACTCACAGAGCGAGCTCGGACACAGAAGCGTCGAAGGTTCACCTGCAACGACACGACACGTGTGGAGGTTCTGAAGTATCTTCAGAAAGTGCATGAAAATGAAGTATGCTTTGGGCCCCATTTGCCGGAGGACCGTCAATGGCTTTCCACAGTGGCGACGCCCTGCCCGATCTTGGCGGCATCAAGCAGGCTGGGCTGTGAGATGGGAAGAATTCGCGGTTTGGCGTTTCAGGTTTAGCGGCTTTTCGTCTAACAGCGTAGCACGACAATGGACAGAGATGGACTGCTGTATGGGGGGAATGCTCACTTCGGGGAAGTTGGAGTCTAGGACTTTGGATCCTGAGCATTCCAGAGGGTTGGACGAGACATGACGAGACCGATGCTGTGTTCTCGCACCGTGCACAGCATCAGGAGTTGGCAATGATTCGCCGACAGCTGTCTTCCATCTTGGACGTCCAGCATGAACTGCAGTCAGTACTACATCAGGTTGGGAGCAACTTGGTACGATGGCTCTATCCAAGCCAAGAATCTCAGCATTCTCAGTAAGCATTTGCACGAGGACTGCCCTTGCATGGCTGAGGCGACGTCTCCAACTTCCTAGTCAGCCATCATGGTCATAGTCGCGACGGAAAGGCAAAAGCCGTCCGGCCCAAAGGCGGCCTCCGGCATGGTCCGACAATGACTCACGGCGTGAGCAGTGCTGTCGAGCAAGAAGGCCGGCCCGACAAGCTGTTATGCTAAGTTATGCAGCTTCTTTCGAGGGCCAGAACTCAGAGAGCCTAATTAGGAGCAATGGAGAGCCTGTGCTTGTTGCATGCGTCTTCGTCTCGAGGCCGAGGGGGTTCGGAGAGCAGCGTTTTGCTGCCTAGAGAAGCCATGGACAACGTGAATCCAGTGTCCCTACGACTTGGTTAGCCAGGATTAGCCAGGCTTCCAGCAGCCGCCAGGTCGGCAGAGACTGAGAAGGTCCCACACAGATCGCGGCCACGCAGCTGAGCCATCACCGGCAGACACCGCAGAGACTGTGCTAGCATTTTTTGAGAGGCCGCAGGAAGAGCTGGCCGTTTCCCCCCCGCTACTACGGTGCCAGCAGACGTCAGGACAGCTGCACGCAAGAGGCCCCAGGAGGAGCTGGACTTCTCGTCGGAGCCTCGCAGCTCAGAGCTGCGACGCAATTTCCAAACATATTGCGCAGTTCTTTTGCCGCCTCTGAGAAGAAGGTTGCCGCTATGGGCCCATACCAGTCAGAGACACCTCAGCCACCCAGCGTACGGCTGTACAAGGCCGTGTCGCCGGACCGGCTGCCGGCCTCAGCCAAGGACCTCACGGTTGGGTTTCCGCCGAGTAGCTTCACGAAAGAAGTGCAGAGCCAAGTGCTCATGATTCAAGATGATCCCAGTGCTCTACCTTCAGTGATTCAGTTGCAGCCGACCAACATTTACAGAGATACGCGGGACTAGAAGTCGGTGGAAGGCAGCGTGCTGACGCCCACCGTTGAGCGACTTATTCAGGGGTTTCAATTCTATATGGAAGAGTACCACGCCAAGAAAGCACCCAGAAGTTACACGTGTGGCTCAAGGCAAGCGCTGTGGTTCCAGAGCCGCAAACTAGCTCACAGCCAGCATGTGAACTTGAGAGTGAGCAGAACGTCCTGCCGACATGCGTACCACAACCGCGAGACCCTACTGAACAACGCTGGCAAGCCGATCGACAAGCCGATCAAAAACCTGCAGCCGAGAAAGCTGCCGTCACAGCTGTCCTGAAGAACCCGAGCCAGTGCCCTGCATGAACCTCCTGGCACAGCTCTCGACAACCTTTGCTAGCAAAACCTAGGCCAACAGTCTTTGTTTCGAAGTTTATCCAAGCGATCGGGAGATCCCCTAGGGCTGTTCGCAAGAAGCCTCCTGGCGCAACTCTCGACAAGCCTCCAAGCCTCTTGGCACAACTCCAAACAAGCCATGGCATAGCTCCCAACGACCCTCCTGGCGCAGCCTGTGCCCGGGTGCAGGGACGAGTTCCTCCACAGGTATTCATTAGGGCATCAGTACCGCGGGTGCCTATTATCTTCGACCACTTCCACAACCGCTACTCCCCTCCTCCCACTACAACCTCTCACCGAACACAGTCTTCATGTTGAATCTCTTCGCTGACCCCACGAAGCTCCAAATCAAGTCCCGGCCCAACCAGCCAGAGAGATCGCATTTACTGTACCATCGCCCTCGGGGAGACCGGCGGATGTGGTTAACCCTGCCTCACTTGGCATGCCGACTCAACGAGATCATTTCCTCTTTCCTCAACGAGATGCCTGTGGAGCCCCTCGCTTCAAGCACCATAGCTGTCGAGGAAACTCGCGGACTAGTGCACGTACTCCAGCAAGCAGCAGTGCCTGCAGAAGTATTCCTTCCGAAAACGTTGCATGAGGTACAAGACACAGTTGTTCAGTTTTTCCAGCGCGTCATCACCAGGCATCCGGCATCATCCGGCCAGTGGCTTATTGTTGGAGATGTTCATCCACCAGCACATGCGCCACTACCAGCCCGACAAGTGCTTGCCCAATTCAACAATTCAAGCAAAGCGGATTTCTCTTGGAGCAGCTGGAGCGCCGAAGCAGAGTTACAGTGGCACAGCTGCAGCACGGCATGGACTACATCGGCAGGAAGCACCCTGGACAAGTCTTCGAACCTCGACCTCTGAAGCGCCAGCAAGTCCTTGACTGTCACGTCTCCTTTAAGGAGCACGGCCTGAATCAGAGCTTTCTGCGATCCCCAGCTGTTGAGAAGTGCTATTACGCCCTCGGCTGCTCTCGGGACGCCTGTTCTGCATGACGTTTGAGTGCGCCTCGCCTGTGGCACCGCTTCCTTGTATCCGAGCAATCACGCAACCTCTGATTTTGCCTAAACCCAAACCCCTTCTGCGCGAGTGTGTGGATCGAAACCCTAAACCCCTAAACCCTGAAAACCCTAAGTTTGAGATGCATAGAAATAGGTATCTGGGTCCTACACCATTCTCTCAGAAAGCCACCTGACTTTCTCAGACTTCCGTTGTCTTTGCTTGCGTCGACACTGCTCCCAGGATCGTCTCTCGTGCACGAGTTTGGAGCGCGGCTTGTGCTTCCGTATGCTTCCGTGAAGTCGCTCAAACACTTCCAAGAATGCCCTGACAAGACAAGCAAAGCTTACAATCTGTAGAGAGGGTTACGGCTTCATTAGAGAGAATTCTCAGTCCGGCGAAGCATAGGGGCATATAGGGTTTCCAGGCATGGCACTCATGTGGCTGCCCTGCATTCATAAAGGAGTCTCAGTTGTGGTCGTTTCCTTTGAGTCACATTACCAAATAAATTCGAGATTTCTGGGTCAAGACGGGGGGAAAGGCCGCCCCAGGATGTTTGTGTTTCACTGTTCTAGCCTCATGCACGCGCGAGGCCACACAAGCCCGAGGCCCGAGATCCCAAGCCACCGACTGCCGAGTTGGCAACATGCAGGTTCCCTATCAAGTAGTGCGAGTGGCCATGATGAGAACCTAAGACTCCAGACCTGCTGACCTAGCCAACACTCATTTATTAAGAGCCATCCTTACCCGTTTTGCACACTTCTGGTACCCGTTCCACCCAACCCTCATCCAACTCATTCGCAGGCGTCGAGGACGAGGTAGATGATCGAGAGTCCGTCGAGGATGCAGAGGAGAACACGAAGCCCAGTTTTGGGTTGTTCTCCTTGAAACAAGCCTCGTGCTCACGACTATGCCTTGTTTTCCTCAAGCACTGTTTGCACCATTGGAGGCGAAGTCTGGCAAAGAACCGAGCCCAGATTTGACAATTTCTGTACTCAGGTGCACGACAGAATGAACGTCAGACAATCCATCCTGGTGAACCTCATCCGAATTAAGATGCTTTGGCCGTTGTTGCACCCACTTGGCTACCCCAGAGCTGTAGTCTCTCCCCAGGAAGGATGGTGAGGAGGCTGTGACGTGGCAACTTGACGGCAGTACGGCCTTTTGCAACCGGAAACAATCTCCTTGAATGTTTCCTTGAAGCTTGCCCGTGAGCAGAAGTCCGGCACAGAGGCCACTCCTGTAAGCCTCGACCCCGGAACCTGGTTTCCCACAAGACACGATCTCCGCACACGGAGAAGCGCGCACCACCAGACCACAGGGCCGAGCGCCCAGGAGCCCCCGCGTGCGTGGCGATTTGTGTTAGAATGCCGGGCAGCGTGCAGGTCGTAATTCCGCGCTGTCCAGACTATTCTAGACTTATTGAGCCACCTTGCTTTGGCTAGTCGTCCAAGCTAGCCCCCTCCCAAAGTTCGTGCATCCTCCTCAACTTACTGCCCACGCCCTGCTGGCTGGGGCGCGACATGGCATCAGTTCAGTACAACACAACGCAAACGGCAGCCGTGCATCAACAAGAGAGTCCGCCTAAGCGAGAGCGAGGCCTTCGCCGGTTCCTTCGGCGTGAGGAAACAGAGAATCTCATGGGCCGTCGCACTGCCACTGCCAGGTCTCCTGAAGATGAGATGAGACACGCCACAAAGCTGAAATCTTTCGCCGGGATTTAGCAGTGGGGTGTTCACTGTGGCCACAGGCAGTAGCAGGCAATAGCACTTGCTCAACCAAGAATCTGAAGATCATGTTCGAGAAAGCCGAGATGGTCATGCAGCAGGAGTGTGGTGCTGAGAATCCTTCGCATTGGTTCTGCGTGGTGACCTTGGAAGCCGTTGCTCTATGCCCGACAAGGGTCAAGCGATGGAAAGCCATCAGCTGACTGTTCGCCAGTTAGAGACGAACACGAGCAAGCACAGACTGAGGCTCAAGCTCAAGATGGCCAAAAGAGACCGTGCCCTGGCAGAGCTTTCATGTAGACTCCTTGCACAAGGGAATGTTTGCACAAGTGCAAACCATCGCTTGCTGCTCGGAGGATTTCGATATTGGTATGATCAGATGTGGCAGATTTGGTGTCTTGGCAGTTAATGTTCGAACTGCCAAACATTTGGAAGGAGGGCGTTGGATCCGAAAATTGGATCGACTCAGGAAATCGAATGAACGCTTCTCTATGGCGTTGGACGTGTGTCTTGGCGGGTCGTTGGTGGTCGACGGGGACTCTTTCTTCACAGGCAGAGCACAAGCAATCTCCGACGTTGCGTGCTGGGATCGCGGCAACAGCGGAATAAGTGTTCAGGCAAGAAGCGTGGGCGGGATATGGAGGGAGGCGTAATCACGCAGCAAATGACTTCTCGGCATTGGGAGGAGCAGTCATGACTCATTACGCCTGCAAAGGGACAACTGCGGAGGAGAGCCGTGTGTCACGCTCTACGTTGCAGCAGGTCAACATGTCTGGTCGGCATAAGTTCGATATGCCGTGTGGAGTGCTTTGGCGAGACACGAGCAAGACAAAAGCTATCAAAAGCTGTAATGTGGGTGGGCCGGTATTTCTCGTTTCTCTTTGGCTGGTCTCCTTGCGACCAAGTCTTGACCTAGACCGCTGGAACTTGAGTGCATATGGCCCAACCACAATACCCGAAAAGGATGCCCCATTTCGATTTTCGAAAGAGCGTCCTCGCATCGAACGAATCGAAGCATCATCGGTGGACCAACAACACGTCTGTAAGCCTTGGGCAGCAACATCAAGGACAGACAGATGCAGTACCGGAGACCAAGGTTCGTGAGCATCACCATTTGCCTCAATGCTGCTTGAACGCATTAAAAGTCTGTAGAACCACTTGTGGTTGTGTTCTGGATGTCCAAGAGTGCAATGGCTAGGAGCTGCCCCAAAAATCCATCGGGCCATTGCCAAAGCAAAAGATGTACGCAAGAGTGCAATGCCGATGATTGCATTTGAAATGACCCTTTGCGCAGGCGGCATTCCTTGGCGTGAGCATGGACTGGTCTGATGGAACATTACCATGGATCGTTGCCAACCTGGCACTCTGCCTGCATGGGGACTTGGTCGATGGTTGGTTTGGGAGAAGGCCGCCACCGACGTCCACCCACACGAGCAAGTCACGAAAGCTAGCTTTGTGGAATTTGACGGAGTTGTCGTTTACCATTGACTTGTAGTAGAGAACTAAGTCAGAGGGGGTTCGGGCGCGCCATCACGCAAGGGCCCCCCACCTCAAGGTCCATCATGGTCCATCTGTTGAAGCAACATTTAAGCTTGCGTTTTGTGCTTGCGTGGCCGAGTGCGTCTACGTCTACATAGCAGGTTTCATGTCTGACCCCTCAGTAATCAGAATTAGCTAAGCGGCCACCAGGACAGATCGAAGCTGCTCGTAGATGGTCGAGTTATTGCTTACGCACGGACACTCTGACGCGCAGTGAGGACGGTCAAGGCACCACTATAACGACAAGGGTGTATCTTTATGTTGGCCGGTGTAAAGCAGAATAGTGCTATAATCTTGCAGGCTTAAGCTTCATGGCACAACATTCGTGCTTGCATCCACGCTGCCAGAGCTCTGTCGACTCTGGTTCCTTCTTTTGCCCTAGCTTCGTGGCCTCAAGTGTTGAAACACCACGTGCTTAGGATATCTCCGTGGCCCTGCTCGGACATGTTCACGGAACTGAGGTGTTTTCCACCATCTTCCTTCTTGAAATTGTGTTTAAGGCCCCTCGGATTGGAGCCATCAACAGGCATTACCAGTTACCAGCTGATACATGCTACAGAAATCGTGAAAGCAAGGTCTACATGAATGGATTTCGTGGACATTTCTGCACCGGCACGCCATGGATGAATTGTCGCTGCGACATGTTGGACAATCACGATTGGACTAGTCAAGAGCGCCGTCGGTGACGCAGCTGAGCTTGTTCAGATGATGATTAACATGTTGCCAACGCAAAGTTTGCAGAGCAAGCAAAGCTGCTGGTAGAACCAGACACAGCTTGGAGTTTTGTCATTCTGTTCGGCATGTTTCGGCTGCGGCATCCTTTGGCATGCTTGCTCTCGCAAAGCCAGGCTTCGACAGCTTTATCATTCTGGTTGACTTCGTGCAGGCTGGTCTCGGCAGTCGCTCTTCGGAGGTTTGGCATTGATGAAGCCCTGTCGCGTCAACAGGTGTGGATGGAGCTAACGATGCCGGCTTCCGAGAGTAACTTCAGTCTTTCAGCGTTGCATATAGCGACCCTGAGAAGCTCTGCCTTCGAGGGGCTCGGCCATGATGGAAGACACACCATCCGCCTCGCTGTTCCGAATGATTCGTCTCCTCCGTCTTACGCGCCGCTGGGCAGCAAGGGGTGTGCGCTACATCGGACTGGTTCCGCACAATGCAAAATTCAAAAAGGTGAGTGGACTTGGTATAGTAGTTCCTTTTAACACTCCCGAAGCTTGACAAATATTGAAAGGATATTCCATGATGCTCCCCTTGCTCCAAATCCCCGTTAGCATAACCGAAGCAGAATAGCTGAGGTATCTTGCGAGCAGCTGGGCAAAGAAGGCTTTGCTCAAGTTTTCGTCTTGGCAGGTCAAGGTAAGCTGCGCCAACTGCTAGCCGCTAGCCGCCTTACCGTTGCCGCCCCTAAGTGGGCCTGGCCATTTAGGTGACCAAATCAGACACCTTCAAGGAGCTAGCGGAGCTGACGCTCAGATGCGACATTCGTCCCTCCCTGGAAACAGTCCAATTTTCGCAAGGCAGCAGGATATCTTGAGCTTCAGGCGATAATTCAGGGAGCGCGACTGTGTAGAGTTCGCAGAAAGGGCCATTCTGCTGTCGGGCGCACATCACATTTGTGCCACGATGGGGAAGGCTGGACAGAAGGCTGTCTAAACACATCGAAGGCTGTTGCAAGCAGAACGCAGTTCGGTTTTGCCGGAGAGTGCACACCAGCGACATCACAACCGACCTGCTCAAGTCATATCGACAGCCACACTCGCGTCAATCAGCAGCTCAATTTCATGTTCAATCTGGTTTATCAGGGATCCTCTTTCAGTTTCAATATATGACGTGAGACTTTAGGTACCCCAACAACCACCCAAATCGCCATGCTACCTGACAATCTCGTCGTGTCTACCAAGGGCCAGACTACAACTGCAGGAATTGACAAGTGTGGAGGGGGGGGAGCCTGCATTGTGTTCGTTCGTATAGCAAAGGTGCTTGCTTCCCGCTCAAAACTTTTGACCCTTCGCCGAGGAAGAGCGTTTCAGGTTGAGGTGGCTTCCTCCAAGAGTCCCGATGCTCCCGTGCTGCTGCTGAAGTGTTTTTACCTACGACATGCAGCATCCCTGGGTTTGCACATGCCTAAATCCTTCCTTTGAAAGGGCCTCTCGTCGAGGTGGCTCTATTTTTTTCCACTTCGGACAGGACTCCTGCTGGCGATTCCTTCCCAGAAATGACTGTTGAGGTGTTTTCGGAGAGTGTACCTCCGCTTCCCCTTTTTTCTTTCTCTACTGAGTCTTTTGGTCCTACCGCAGTCCAGTGCAGAGACCTCTCCTGAAAACCAAGTGCCCCGCCCTAAGAGCCACAGGTCAAACCGCGGCAGGAAGGCCCAAGACTGTCTACCAGAAGTCGCGACCTAGCCAGGGTAGAAACAGGAGGAAAATCAGTAAGCTCTGGAAATTTCTGTGGGAGGTACTTCATGCGCATAGTTACGCATAGTTGTATTCTGGAGCAGGAAGAAGAAGCCCTCATTACATTGGCGGAGCTGGAAAAGGCAGACCGGGAAGACAAACCCCTGGAGGCCTGGGTCCTTGACCAATTCTTCCACCCAATTCCGTGGTGCCCCAGCCAGTGTGGCACGAGTGAGATTGAGAACATTCTGGGCACGGCCCAGATCCGCCTACCGGAAATGACTATCAAATCCTCACTACCCAGTGACGAGGGCCTGTCGAAGACTGGGTTCGCTCATGTTCGCTCCCAGAAACAAAACACCTCACCCTTGGGCGACTGAATAAACTCGGTTTCCTACCTTGCCCAAAAAACGGGGCACCCCGTACCTTAAAACCCTGCAAGTTCTACGCAACTTACATCTGGAAATTCTGGAAGACTAGTGACATGCTGTGTTGGAGCAGACACAGCAGCCTGTGTTGTCTGGCCAAAATTGGAAACTCCGCGTTGAAGAGGTTGCGTGAATGGAACAGGAATCTGAGATCTTAATACATCATGCAGTTGCCCACATCAGAAACTTGACACACTTCTTCGACGGGGCTGTACACTCAAGCTTGGGTGAACTGGGGGAACGCAGAATTTGTTGCTGGGATTGTGAAGTTTTGGTAGATGTGTGAACTTCCTTAATTTCCGGTAGACTCTGGCAAACACGGCAGATGTGCACTCACAGCCTATCGGGGCGCGATGTGCTGTGACGGCTCATGTTGTCGTATTCTGTGCTGCCTCTGGAGAAAGTGAAGACATGCAATGCAAACGGCACTGCAAAGAACGGTACGCACACTTTATGATGGGCGGCGATGCTTTGTCACAGCGTTACGGTGATGTTTCTGCATGTTGCTCAGTATTCCGGAGCTACAGTTGATAAGTATGCAGTTTCTCTTTTGCAGTACTATTTGCCAAGGACCCCGAACCACAAAGAAGGGTTGACTTTACTGAATGAAGCCCGAAGACAGCACTGAATCTGAAATATCTTGGCTTCGGATTGGTGCTCTCCAATGCCCTGCAGGAAGAGCATTTCGCCTGCTTGTGTAAGAGCATTGCACACCGCGTTCTTAGAGGCAGAGACAGGTCAGCCACACGACTGCGTTTTTGCACCCCGAACCAGCCGAGGATGCATGGGATTGTTGCTGGAATGTACACCACAGCTACTCGGAGCTTGAGTTAGTTGGTGAATGCAGAGTGGATTCTGGTCTGGAAGATAGCACAGGCCAAGTGCAGGAGGCACGAGTGGCAACCGTGATGAAAACTGTTCGCCGGAAGCGCACTTGCTTCAAGAGGCGGCTAGGGCGGCTAGGTGCCCAATGTTCGTAGATTCAAACAAGGTTTGGTCGCTGCTCCTTTTCGCGATCGTCATGCAGCATGGATGCACGGATTGCCATGCTGCGACCTGAACTACGATGTTTGTGTCATGTTAGGTATATTTCCTCCAAAGAGACAGCAAGGCCCGAATTCCCAAGGGAGCTCCTTGCTGAGAGCAGCATCGACTGATAAACACCCAGGCTCACGATTAAACCCCACAGCAAGAATGCATTGAATGCGCTTCATGCGAAAATGAACATAAACGGAGACTTGGTTGCTGCCCTGTTTATGGAAAGAGGTATGTGGTTGCATTGGTTTTTCGAGAAACGCTGGGCAGAGCTGCCGAGACACCTTCGAAGGACGCTGCATGATGTTGAGTGTGAGACTCCTTCTTGTGTAGGTCCAGCATGGTTGAGCCTATGGTCTACATTCTAGTCTCGTTCTCTTGTTTCTCGAGCTTCGGGAAGCTGTAGAATTTGAGGTACTTGTGCTTGTAGGTAGCGTTCTGTGCGGAAGGGTGCAATTTATGATGTTTGGAGAACACTCTGCATACAAAGGTGCGTTTTCATTGGAAGTGTGTGCCCTGCCAATCCCTGACAGACACACACACACACAGAGATATGAGCATTGATCTAAAGGTCCTTGTGTGGGGATTATATAAAACGGTTTTAACATGTACAGTAGTGTGTGCGCGAAAGATCCGCGATGGGTCCGCGAAAGGAAAGCATTAATCCGCGAAAGTTGTTGTGTAAAAGATTTGGGCCGTATAAGACTTGT